CAGTGTTACAGGCCACCATGTAGTGTCTGTGACATGTAAACCATCACCAGTGTTACAGGATACCATGTAGTGTCTGTGACAAGTAAACCATCACCAGTGTTACAGGCCACCATGTAGTGTCTGTGACATGTAAACCATCACCAGTGTTACAGGCCACCATGTAGTGCCGTGACCTGCATATCATCACAAATGTTACAGGATACCATGTAGTGTCGGTGACCTGTAAACCTTAACTTCTGTTACATGATACCTGTAGTGTCTGTGACCTGTAAATCATCAGCAGTGTTACAGTTTACCCAGAAGTGTCTGTAACCTGTCTATCATCACCAGTGTTATAGGAGACAAATTTATGTCTGCGTGCTGTTAAACGTCACTAGTAGGGTTCAGTACCTATAAACAGGGTAACAATGTCGCCAGTTACGTCAGTGGCTTATCAAACTCAACACCAGCTTTGCATTACACTTTATGTGTGGAAGACCTAGCTACATTATCAATTTCTATGACATATTATATCAGCGCCAACGTTACAAAATCACAAGAATTGTATACGACCTCTAATATCAGCGCCAACCCAATACAATCAACGCCAGCGCAACCTCACTAGTAGTATTTGATATATTAACAAATCACCGCCAGCGATGCGACATCAACAGTTGTGTTTATGGCATATAAAATCACCACCACCTTCACACAATATCCAGGAGTGTCCATGACCTAAAAAGACACCGTCAGTATTACAGCGTTACTAAGCACGGTCATTGCCGTTCGTGGCCTCTCCATACCGAGCCCCTGTCTTAATGTATAAATACATTTGTAGAACATAGCTCTTGCTTAAAAGTCAATAACTGGAAGGTTATGGAATGGCTTTGATGAATTGATAATGGGAACCTAAATGTATTAATGCAGGAATAAAGCATCCCTCGTCAGGGATCAATTATTCAGGAAACGCGAGCTTTACAAGTCTATTTAAAAAACTTGATGCACAAACTCCTATAGCATTGGTCAAAAGTGTTCCCTCAATTCTATTTTCAACTTTAAGTCAGCAGGAAAATTCAAAACGGGGAGATTTTCAAATGGCCAGAGCAAAATCTCGAAAAAGTTGAAAATATTTCGGTTTAATTTTGTAAAAACTCAACGTATATGAACTTATGCAATCTATCTCAAACGGGAAAATAAACCAGCAAACTACCCGAAAAGTATAAATAAACAAACTAATATGCTTATATGTATAAAGGAGCAAATCTGTCCTAATCGCTATAAAAGAACAGATGTTTACCAAAGAACACTCTTTACCTAGTCTGTATGAAGAAGATATCTTACCTAATCTATATTAAGGATGTACACCTCTGAGAAGTCAAAAAATTCCTGTATTAAACTTTTTTTCTTATATGGACTTTTAGTAGAAAATGCAAAAAAAAAATATATGTCCGTGTGTTCGTTTTTGTGCTATGATCGGTCAAAGATACCAATTTAACACAACATGTGATTTTAGGTGATTTTGGGGGTTTTGACCATTTGTAGAACAAATTCATACAATTTCTTCCAAGGGTGTTATCAGATATGAATGAATGTTTGTAGAATTGATGAAAATATTATTTTCTTTTTAATTATGGAAGTAACATTTCTTAATCTTATTCTTTTAACTCAGAAAGCCGATTTTAGTTACCCCTACCCCCTACTTTTTAATGAAAAAATACTCATTTTATTACCATTGTTTTGCAGATAAACGCTATTAAACCTTTTTTTAGTATTCAATGAACTAAAGGAAAATGTGTTTCTCCTTTTAAAACATCCACAAAAATGGGGGGTCAGTGTGCTTTTTTTTGTTCCATGATCATTTATTTTTAACCTTTTTCGGGGTCAATAATCAAAAGTGCTTCAGTTACACTAAATATGTAAAAAAAATATCAATAATGTATAATTTTCCAGTTTGTTGCACATAATTTTTATTATATTAAACATTATAAAGTTGTACAGCAAAATTGAACCTGCTACAATTAAAAATGGCGACACAATGACAATTTTAGTGATCAATCTAGTGTCAAAAAAGTTGCAATTTTGGCCTTTTTTGAAGCGCAAGAAATACACATTTTCAAAATGGCTGCCGAATTGGTAACCGTTTTAAATTCTTGTAAAAGAAGTTCTACAAACAACAGGCATCTAGTTTTTTGACATATTTTTCAGATGCGTGTTTGCTAATAAACTTTATCATAATTTGTTAAATATTACAAAACCCCGTTACACCAAGATCAAAGTGAGACTTGAACGTGATTGAAACCTCAGAAGAGTACATCCTTAAGGAGCACTTCTTTCCTAGCATGTTTGAAGGGAAATATCTTACCTTATATAAATCAAAGAACACCTTTGCCTGGCATATTTGATGAAAAAAACCTTACTTATTCCAAATAAAAGAACACACTTTACCTAGCTGTATGCAGGAACATTTCTTACCTAATCTTAATAAAATAACTCACCTTAACTAGTTTAGGCTGTATCCAGGAGAAGACCTTATGTAATCTAAATCAAATCACACACCTTATCTAGTCTACATGTATGCAGAAGCAGACCTTACCTAATCTATATTAGAGAACATCTTATCTAGTCTGTATGCAGGAATAGACCTTACGTAATATGTATTTACCTTATCTGTATTAACGAACACACCTTAATAAGTCTGTATAATTAGGGACACGCCTTACCATGTCTTCATGAAATTTCTTTTTTGTATCACATAATCTGCATAGGCAAGCAGAACTTACCAAATCTGTTTATACAAAAAGATTATACTAATCGATATTAAATAACAAACCTGGCCAACGCTGGGTCACGCAATAAACCTTGCCTGGTTTATATTAAAAATAAAACGTACATTACCTGAATAAATGAACAACACTCGTGCAATCTGTATAATCGACCCAAACCGTATCCAATTGGTATAAACGAATGACGCCTTACATAATCTTTATAAGCGAACGCACCTTATCAAATATGTATGCAATAATATATCTTTTTGCTGATAAAAAGGAACTAGTAAGACATATATCCGTTAAACCATATTGATTTGTTACATTGATGCGATATCTTTGAGGCAAATTTTTAATTCGAAAAAAAACATCTAAGGTTACTTTACAATAACACTTTCCTTCCGTAATAATTGACATCGCCTACTTATTACAGTAAGTCATTTATCTTTGTAATTAAGTTGACTCTTCAATATAAAGATCGTCTCTTATCACTACGATCAAAAGTGATGGCTGTCTACCTACTGAGATCCTGACGAGGTCAGATTGGATCAGCAAGACATCTAATAGAATGGTATCAAAGGAAATATTGACGGAAACGTCTCCAGAAATCGTTACACCCATTGGAGAAACAGCGAAAGAATTACTCGCATATGTACTATAGGCGAATGCAAGATAGTATCATCGATATTAAATGCGCATTAGGTCGAAGATACATGTTTCAGGTTGCAGAGTGATCACACACCTAAAGTGGAGCAAAAGAAGTAAATAATAAAAACAACCATGCTGTAACAGTAGTGGAAATTGCAACGGAGAAGTTCTATATAATGTTAACCTACTGGACAACATCGCCGCCGGCAAATGACTCAGCCACGCTCAGTTACAATAGAATCACACACTAATGCATTTAATGTTATATACACGACGGAAGTTGTGTGATAGATGTTTTACGGTTCGACAGTCCACGGGCAACTACTGTCATCATTCTCAGACAACATTCGAACACTGTTTCTTAAAAGTAACCATTTTCTTTACTAATTCGGTCATATACAAGATGGCCATAGGCTTACTGAAGTTGTACTTTACGTTACAAGAAAAAAAATACAGCAATGACCTCCGTAATAAAAAAAAGTCTGCAAATGTAAGTGCCGTTTAAAGATATCCCACAAAATGAACCGATAGACATAATAAAGGAACTGCGGGAGTGCCATTTTTTTTTGGGGGGGGGGGGGGGGGGGGGGGTTGCACTGATTCGCCTCAATAACCGTTGTTTCCTTATTATAGTCCATGTACGTGTTGACATTTCCATGGAACACATATTCGCAGGACTTTCAGACCAATATACATGGTATTTTGTACTGTGAATTTCAAAGCAGGTCTAAAGAAACTCAAACATCGGCCTTGGAGACTTCCACTGTGAAGATGAGTACTGTTGGACCATCTCACACAAGACGCTACGGACAAAGATATTAATATACATGAGGTTGACAGGGAAAGAGGATCTGAAGTGGACTCCTGAGACTCAAACGTACCTCACTTATTTTACAAAGTACAGAGAGGTCAAACATGGCAAGTAGGCCAATGCCCGCGCACTGAGGGAGCTACATGTAAGAGGAGTCCATGGTATACACATCGAAGGCACTGTTACCCCGAAAGAATGAACAAAAGTCAATATGAGGAACAAATAGGGTGAACATCGGACTTTAAATTTTATATAACGCATTCATTATTGTTTTTACCTCTTTTACTTATTTATTAATTGTTTCATATTTCGTCATTAGTTTATGTCAAACTACATGTAACATAGAACAAAAGATACAAATGACGTCAAACGTTCAACATGTTATTTACAAAGAATAGGATTGCACTTGATCCAGGTCGATTAATAGCTAACGTGGTATGATTGTATGAATGAAGTGTTTAGCAAGTGAGACTATGTTTGTGTTTCCTATAAGATATGTTATTCAACAGCCATACCTGACCACGATTGTTTTACAAACTTTAGCTTCATTATATTAAAATAGTTAATTTTCTGACAAATACAAACTTCTAATTTCACAATCTTTTAACCGATTACTTTATTCAATTGTGTGCGGAAAGAACTTAAAGACATCCAAAACACCTATTTGTTAGCTTCATAATTTTCAGTGTTCTTACATAATTCCTTTTGTTGTCCAGTTAAAGATGTTGCCAGGGATATCCTACATGAATGAAGGCATTCTACACTGAAAAATATATCTCTGACACCTGATTAGCAATAAAAGGAGCTCAGTTATTGTCGATATTAAAGATATTGTCATGCACTTAATTTGTTTGATTTCAAACGATAACACAAGGCTTGTGGCTTCTGTTCACGCTTTCGAAACACCTCTTAATTTTTGTCTGATCTGCATCCTTGTTTTGCGCTAGCTCATATCATCTTTCTTCTTGTTATGGTGTCTCTATTCCTGTTGTTGAATTTTCGCAACTTTCCCAATTGTTTTTTTTTGTTTATACTGTAATACTGGATTTTTCTTTTGTTATAAGGTACTGATACTGTCTGATATTTGATTCACGAAAACTTCTTATACAGTGTATTCTACACATGCGCAATACATTCATGTTAGTAATGTAGTCATTATTCGTGTGTTAAAAATCATTTTTCTATGAAAGCAATATAATAATTCTTTATAAAAAGTTATACATAACAACCGTAAACCCATGACAAACATGGTCTACAACTTTATCACAATGTCGTTTTTATGTAACATAAAGCATATGTACACATTCTCTCTTAGTTTTAATATCCGTTAAATAGACCAACTAAAGTGTTGCTAGTGTGGCCAATACACACTAATCAAGACAATCTTTATTGATATTATCGCTTTACGTTGTCTGACAAATTGAACTTCTGTTTTTTTTATGAGGTTGGTAAAATCAGTGTACCATTTTGCCATTGTTCCATTATTATTCACAGTGGTACGTTTCAGGCCCATCGTTCTCGGTGGTACATTGTTGTGTTCAATATATCTCAGTGCTACGTTTCAGCCCCATAGTTATCGACGGAACATTGTTGTGGTTTATATATCTCAGTGCTACGTTTCAGGCCCATCGTTCTCGGTGGTACATTGTTGTGGTCTATATATCTCAGTGGTACGTTTCAGGCCCATCGTTCTCGGTGGTACATTGTTGTGTTCAATATATCTCAGTGCTACGTTTCAGCCCCATAGTTATCGACGGAACATTGTTGTGGTTTATATATCTCAGTCTAAGTTTCAGCCCCATAGTTATCGACGGAACATTGTTGTGGTTTATATATCTCAGTGCTACGTTTCAGGCCCAGTTCTCGACGGAACATTGTTGTGGTCTATATATCTCAGTGGTATTCAGCGAGAGGATCAATGATAGATATACACAAGAAATACGATAATACAGTTAAGAAGGTCCGTATAAAGTCTGTTTGAGAGTCATTACAGGCAGTATCTCACTAACGATTTTGGCATTAGAACATTATACTCTCGATTTGACACAATACAATTCACTAGTTACTTTTAACATTTAAAAAGAAAAATGTAGATGCATGACAAAATGTGTATTTTGAGAGTAATAAATGATAGAAAGAAAAAAAAATCACAATCTAAAAGCAAAATATTAATGATTACTCAAACTTCGTAGTGTCATATAAAACAAAACAAAACAAGCAAGTTCGTGGAAATTATATCGCCCGCTTTCAGGACATATTGAAGGTAAACGTTATTGAGGTTAGGTTTAAACATGCTGTCGAGACATAGTGTATACCTTTAAACTCAAAGAAAAAAAAAGCCTTATCAAATACTGCAGATAATGACCCTGCCAAATAGAGTCTGGTTGTCAAACTTGGCCGAGCCTTTAATGCGTTGAACCCTGTTACTAAGTTTGATGAAAATCGGATACTATTTGCGAGAGTTAATGAACAGAAACCGGAAGATAATAATGTTTTTCGTTATTCAAGGGGCCATAACTCCGCCAAATGGGGTCCGCTGAAAGTGGTCATCGAACGAACTTGGCCAAGCCCTTAAGGTATTTAACCCTGTGACCAAGTTTGAAGAAAAAGGTTTAACATTTGTTGTAGTTATTGCACGGAAACGAAGCGCGGCATAAAATGACATTTTTCATTATTCAAGGGGCCATAACTCCGCCAGATGGGGTCATCTGAAAGTGGTCATCAAACTTGGTCAAGCCCTTAAGGCATTTAACCCTGGTACCAAGTTTGAAGAAAATCAGTTAACATTTGTTGTAGTTATTGCACGGAAACGAAACGCAGCAGATAATGACGTTTTTCGTTATTCAAGGGGCCATAACTCCGCCAAATGGGGTCATCTGAAAGTGGTCATCAAACTTAGTCGAGCCCTTGAGGCATTTAACCCTGGTACCAAGTTTGATGAAAATCAGTTAACATTTGTTGTAGTTATTGCACGGAAACGAAACGCAGCAGATAATGACGTTTTTCGATATTCAAGGGGCCATAACTCCGCCAAATGGGGTCCGTTGAAGGTGGTCATCGAACAAACTTGGCCAAGCCCTTAAAGTATTTAAACCTGTGACCAAGTTTGAAAAAAATGGTTTAACATTTGTTGTAGTTATTGCACGGAAACGAAACGCGGCAGATAATGACATTTTCCATTATTCAAGGGGCCATAACTCCGCCAGNACGGAAACGAAGCGTGACAGACAGACAGACAGACGGACAGACAGACGGACACACCCAAATGTATATCCCCCGTTTCGGTGAAAGCAGGAGATAATAAACTGAATCTTCGGATAAGTCAATGCATTATTTGACCTTCTTCCTCTTTCGGTGATATTGAAATTTTGACATATGAAAAATGGTACGCAGAATATCCATCGCCGACGACGAAAGAAATTCTAGGGAAGTATCAGAACGGAGCGAGAGACTGATATACAGGCGGATGTACGGACAGACAAGAGTGACAGAGCGGCATTTTATTATGTGATGTTCACTTATGTTTTTAGTAACTTTTTACCTTCATATTAGCTTTTTTACTAGAAGACGCTTTGTTGATGCGTTGTGATATATTTCTGCATATCCTCAGAAACGCATCCGAGATCAGCTTTGGCTTGCCACAGACAAAAAAGACGAGCAGGAGCTTGATCACGCCATCTGTGCATTCGAGAAGAACAAACTTGAGGACAATGGTGACTTAACGGACGCCAAAGAGAAACTTTCCTACCTCATGCTCAGGAAAGGTCAGTTTAAAATTTCCATTCCGCATGCTCAGTAAAGGTCGGTTTAAAAGTTGGTCTATATCACTTCAAGAGAGATGAGTGTGAAAAATCGCCTTCCTCATTGCAAGGAAGAGATCAGTGTTTAAATTCGCTACCCTGTTGTCAGGAAAGCCTTGTGTCAAAACGTTGTAACCTCCTGCTCAGGAAAATTCAGTATAAACGTTTTCGTCTATCTCATGCTCAGAAAAGTTAAGCGTAACAGTTCGCAACCTCAAAGTTCATTTTAAATATAAATCCATCTAATGCTCAAGAAAAGTGAGATCAAAATGTTGTCTGCCTCGTGAGTCCTCAAAGCTCACTACAGCATTTCGCCAACCTGATGCTCAAGAAAGGTGAGATGAAGAAGTCGTCTGCCTCATGCTCAGGAAAGGTGAAAAAACGTAACTGCACAATCGGGGATATCGGCGTAAGAGCTTGCCGATTTGACTCTCATGAGAGGTTATTGTTGATAAGGATATTATTGGTAGGGAGCTTTAACTAACGCCGGCGAGATAATTTTAACTGGTTTGGAGAATCTTTCCATCAACTGACTGTCTGGAACAGTTTTAAAATAGTTTAATTCCTTGGACTTTCACTGTTTAATTAGTTATTGTTGCCCATAACAGTTTATTTTACTATTTGAACAGAAATTCGTGACGCGATGCTGCGGCGACATCCCGGAGTACTGGACAAGGCCATACAAAATGTTGAGGAGTCTCCGTACCAGTTCAATCTTCAACACTACTTGGACCGGGCCCGTGAACTAAGACAACACCTGACAGAGTTGGACACCTACAGACACGACATCCTCGAGATGGACCAGTCCACCATTTCAGAGATTCGTTCTTACCATCACCCGCCAGATGGCGTTCACGAAACAATGACGTCCACCTACCTAATCTTAGGCTACAAGGAGTGCGAACTAACGGTAAATGTCAGAAACTGTGATACAAGGCTAAACTAACGATAAGTTAGAGAAAATGTTTGCGTTCAGTGACAAAAGCAGACAAAGACAAATATACCGGTAAAAGATGTTGAAGCAACGTTTTAGAGCAAAATACTGCATTTCATTGTTATTGATTATACCTTACAGTCACTACACGTGTTAGTGAGTGGAAGGATCGACAACTCTTGGTAGAGATTGTGACTATATAAATATATAAAATGATGGCAGCATTGGTAAATTAAATGTGATTCAGAATCTCAAATTATCTCTCAGTAGGCAGGGCTTTGGTTAGACTGACTATAAGCCGCACGGGATTATGTTTCAAATGCTCACTTCGCAATGTTCTCTACAGGAGTGGTCAGATATCCAGTGCCTGCTGGGTCGTTACGGCAAAGAGAGTCTGATGCGAGAGGTTAAAAATGCGGACACGGTCAACATGACGGATCAGACGGCATCCCGGGTCGATGAACTTCAGTCCAAATTTACGTCAGACAAGATCCGTGCCGTCAGTTGTGGCGCGGCCACCTTCTATGTCTGGGTAGGTATACGTACAATTCGAAATCGTTCCTGTTTCATAGACCATTGGATATAACTGACCAATGAGACACGAGCTTTGGCTTCGATGCTATGCTATGACACAAACCAGTCGTGAACCGTCGGCACCTTCAGTAAACGTGTATTTTCTCGTTTACGAAAAGTGTCGATGATTCCCAATTGTCACACAAACATGAATGTGTCGAATGTTGATCTAAACACATTAAACGTCTTTCCTACATATATCAGATAATGTGATCAGAGCACCGTGTATTCATTCGCCATTTCCTTTGCTCTTTGCCATACGTTTAACGCCATATAGGGTTAAAGAATAATACGAAATTTCTATAGTCTATTCTTTATATTTCAGAACAACAATATGTGTGATAAATTCTCCAAAGACAACGCTGATGGTAAACAGTCAAAAGCTTCAAATGAGGCACCGGCTACTCCGGCCAGTACGAAAGGACGGAAGAAAAACAAAGGCTAGCTTTGGATACATCAGATGACGTCGACTTCCGTTTTCGATCCAGGCGAAATTTACAACTGTGCCATTCCAAGGCTGACAATTCTTATCTTTTAGATATTTGTCATAGAATCAGTCATATAGAGCATGTCCTCACTGTAAAGGAAAATCGACGTGCTAAGTTTCCTTCAGCTTGCCAAATTACAGATATTTTCTAGGTTCTTTTCGGAAATGTATGGTCGAGAAACGCTGATTGAAGGACTTCAAACACATGTGATAAAGAAATCTGTGATACAAATAATGCTTTGTTTTACCTACTAGGTATTTCCATTTATCATTTTTCATACAAAATATTTATTGCATCAATGCTGCAAAATCCAGCATTTTTTTAAAAATTACATGTATCAGTATATTGACATTGTATTTATTTTATTGCACATTTCCATGTAGAATTAAACCTAGTCAGCTGGTACTGTGTCTCCTTTCAAGGTGAAAACTGGTATGTTTTAATGTGCACTTGTATTCATATAGGTATTATCTCTATAAATACATATGGGGAAGCCAAACTTATTACTGTACTAGCATCGCTGCTTAACACAAGAATGTACTCGTTTTTAGCTCACCTGGTCCAAAGGGCCAAGTGAGCTTATTTGTTGTTGCGGCGTCCGTCGTCCGTCCGTCGTCCGTCCGTCCGTCGTCCGTCCGGCGTCAACTTTTCACTTTAAACAACTTTTTCTCAGTAACCAAAAGGCCTAGGGTGATGATATTTGGTCAGAAGCATGCTTGGATGAAGGACTATTCTTNGGCCGAGCCCTTAAGGCATTTAACCCTGTGACCAAGGTTGAAGAAATCGGTTAATATTTGTTGTAGTTATTGCACGGACAGACAGACAGACACATTAATATCCCCCGTTTCGGTGAAAGCGGGGGATAAAAAGAAAATACTAAGGTGTCAATAACACCTTAATTCGAATTCGAAATTGATAAAACTATGGCAAAGTATGACGATGAAAGGATTCAAATGGAAACCATTGGAAAAAGAGAAATAAAACCAGGTGTTCCAGAAAGGTTTATCGACGACACCTGACATGTAAATGTAGGTCAAATCCAATCAATGTCACGTCTTCACATCGAAAAATCGTGTAGAAACAACAAAAACACATAAAGAACAATTACCTTAAAATCACACAAAGGAATTGCGTAATCCGTGCGAGATCCTGGTGGCGACAATAAAACTTATCCATAGGTTTCATCAACCTTGGCAAGTCTGTGTTGTAAGTTTGTGCGTCAGCAGGCGACGTCTATCAAGGACGTTATGATATTCGGAGCAAGCTCTCTGGTATCAAAGAGTACATTAGAGTAGGCCCATCGCGCGTTATATGTATTCCTCAAATGCACAAATATGTTTGATATTGAGGTCGCATATTTACATCCCTTTTCACAGCCAAGTACATAAAATTAAAAGGCTTTCATTAAAGACTTATTATACGGCTACAGAGCTAGCATTATCAAACAATCGGTATACAATTTATATTATTCTGGAAAATACTCATCACTTTACCACCTGTTTATTACAAATAAATAACATAATTAAACAATCAGAATGCGTTGATCCAATGCATCAGTAAAATGAGAAAATCACAAACACCTTTCAGATTGGTATCGTTGGAAAGCATGTTATGAAAGTTTTCGCTTACCAACTGATATCATAGGTTACAGACATATGTACGGGGTTGAAAGCATGTTTTGTAATTTTTGAAATCTTTGATAGCAATTAAAATATATTTTTTGCGAATAACTCAATTGTGGTATTCAGTTGAAAAATATCTTTGAGAAATAAATTAATTTTCTGAGATAACCGATTCGATGGTACTTTGTAAGTCGGACACTGCAAGGAAATCTCAAATAAATTTTGAAATCCATTATGTAAGAAGTCATTTATCTTACTAGTAGGCAGCACTTACATGAATTGAATGTTGAGGTGATGGCCGGTGAAACCAAGAGCTATAATGGTACCGTGTAACTGTACATGGGGTTCTAGGGCTGACGATTTACATATAGTATACGACTTAGAATCATTTTATGAAATGTTGATAAAAATCGTACCGGAAAATTTCGCAGGAGATATATTTTGAAGATTCGGATTCTGTGACCCCTAGAGTGAACCCTTCTTGAGTTTGAATTATAGTCTCGATAGCAATGCATACTGTTATGAAATGTTGGTGTAATTCATCTATTAGTTCAGAGGATATATTATGTTTTTAAAGGTTTTGCACTTTGACCCTTCATGGTTCCTCCCTCACCACCTTCTCACTCCTTTCTGGTGAGTGTCTGTCGAGGGGAGGTATGCAGCCATTGTAAAGCATGGTTTTTCGTTCTCATCATCCAAAAATAACGTCATAAATATTTGCTCTATGCACACTTTTAACCTATCCAATGCTCCAGATTCTTTAAGACTTTGCTATACGCATCCTTCGTTGAGCACCTCCTTTGGGACACTTCTTACGTGAGGAGATATGCAAATCCCTGATTATCAAGAAACGTTTTATACAATGGTGATCAAACTCCAACAGCAAAAATTGAAAACAATACCTTTACAGGTTCCTCGCACTCAGTGACCATACGTGGCCGAACCTCTGAGAGACCTATATAGACCGTACCTTTTAGAGGATAGATTCTGATGGAGTGAAAGAATTTAATAATGGATATTTTGATATCTTTAGAACTTTAGAACGTGTCAACACATCTTGATATATATATGACAAGCTCTTCTAGATCATTTTCACTTATGTCGTAAGTAAAATTTATTTGCGATTGCAAAAATAATATTCCGCGGATTGTCACATCATCGTTACCTTATTTTAAAACACCCAATAAAGGCCTAATGACATGATGTCATTCATATACGAACAAAACCGATTGCCACAGTTTCAAATGACTGTCTAAACATGGACGGACTACGGCAAATGGGGGACATAAATAGCTGAACTGTGTGTACTTTTATAAACCCTGACTAGTGTTTTATTGCGCATTCTAAGATGTCTCCTTAGCAGCTCTGTGCCAATTCTGTGGCACCTGTTTTATAATATGTTATTTGCAGTCACGCAATAAATGTGTTCTATTGATGCGATTTGTTATTTTCACAGGATCGACGAATCATAAATAATTCAAAAAAAGCCTGTATTTAAAAGCAGATTCAAATAGGCAAATTATACTGAGCATAATTATTTAAAGCATTTTCTAAATTTATCATACGAAGAATGAGAAATGCCGGTAATGAAAAAAGGGCAGAAACGAAAATTAACCGAAGGAAGAACCTCATTAGATGATTACAAATAAATGTGTTGATGATCCTCGGGTAGGAATCCATCTTCTTGTTTTGTTTACACAGCATTGAATTGGACTAAAACCTGACACTACTGAATTCCGATACTCGACCAGAGGCAAGAATTATTATATATCATACTCACAATGAATATTGAATAAAATGAATGCGTCACGTGTCTTTTAAAGACTGACATTGCACGTTAAGCGCCATCAACAAACTTTCATGAATGAAATGCCATTGCATCTCAACACGCGCCGGAGGACCCTGGAACGTCACTCGTTTGAATATTACATCACTAGTGATAAAATCTAGCTAGAATCAAATGAGTGTCGAGCACTTAGCAATTTAATTTGATTGTCAAAATAAGGACTTGGTAAACGATTTATCATCGCACGGTAACTATTTCGTTATATTGGTCATATGTTGGTCTTAACGACTCTTTGATCGTAATCTTAAAAATTAATACATTTGAATAGACAGGGGTCAAAGCATAAAATATGAAACATTTAAAATTTAATAAGACTGGGCCAGAAGTCTCCTAACTTAAGACAGAACTGCATCACATTTATATGAGGAGAGCACTTATTTTTCGTTATACAAGAAATGCTTCTGTAACATGTTAACCAATTTAGGGAGGACTTAAACGTATATTTATGTCGGTACCATAGTGTGGTCAGGTTGCGTAGTGGATAGCGCACTAGCCTTTGACCCCGATCGACCGTGAACAGATATTGAGCCCCTGCTTACAACATGGGTTTTCTTCAGGTACTCCAGTTACCTCCCACATCACATCAAGACCATTTGTACGCTATCATTTGTGTCAATGAGAGTGATTAATCCAATTCATATTACTTGTTTAGTATATCGTCTAGAATAAACAAAGTTTATCTTAAAAAAAACTATGACATATATACCAGTACCATATCAGTACATAAGTACCACTCGTGTGTGTGTTGTTGGAATGTTAGCATTTGTAACTAGTTAAACTTAGAAAACTGACATTGCTGAAGTGTGTACAACATAAGGTAGAACAAATAATAGTTTATTCAAGCGTCAAACACGAGGAAAAATGGAACAAATGATCAACTGACAGAGTTGAGGCAGTTAAATAAAATCACCATGACCCTTTTCCATTCTCTTCCTTCCGTTTTCAAGTACCGAACATACAAAGTGATGAAATTTATGAAAAACACCATATGTTGATATTGAAAACAAAGGCCGATATATAAATGTTCAATGTGATCATTTCAAAAAGGTTACAAAACACGCTCCTTTCTAACTCTAATTAAAGCAAATTCTACACTGAAATGCAAAATTAGGTCAACATTAAATACATAGAATATTGGTCAATGCTCTTATGATATTAGGTCAGGGTTTTCTAGGTAAAATTATCAGATTCTGAATTGCGTGTTTATGAATGACCATCTGCGATTGCCTCATTATCACCATCATACATTATGTTGCTACAAACTAAAATCTTGGAGTAGTCAATTATCGCTCGTTATGTAGGTGTTCACGAACGCGAAATAACAATACAGTTGGATAACCAATATGCATGCTTAATTGAAATGACGCGCTCTTACGGAGAAAGTAAAATATCTTTATCTCAAAATTCTTGCATTTGTTTTCCAGGAGATACACTCTGCAACTGTATCTTAGACATTTTTCTCTTTTTTGAACAAACTCTAACCCTTAACCTTTCATTATATGCGTCATCCGCTGACGTACGTAGGTTGATTAATACCATAGCTGCGTTAAACAAGGGGTCAGCAGTACGCTATTTACATCTGTGGCCGTATATAGTGTCACGACTGTCGACACGTGCTGACCAGCACACTACGCCCGCGTGTCGTACATCTTTTATATCATGTATAGTCATTAGACCAATATTTTTTTTAAATAAGGCATGTTGAATTTCAAATCATTCTAGATGATAAATATGTGATAACGTCGAGTTTGCTGCGCCTATCACCAGGGCGTATTCAAACCATTCGACACCTTTATACATCTTTTCTAGTTTATTAAATGTCATCAAACAAATTGTAACAACAGGCAATGTTCTACTACTACCGAGCGTGATGTGTAATCATAGTACATGCTGGTAGGGTCTTGCATGTATTAGCATGTATTAAGGGTACACAATTATGATGTATCCAAAAACCAAATAATGTCTTATCATATGAATACATGTAAAATGTTTTTCAAGTACAGCTATGTCAAAAGTTGTCCGTATAAACGCATGTCACATGTCATAAATAACATCATAGACTTCCAGATTATACAATGTTGTCACAATGCCAAACAACAACA